AAACAATTGCTAATTACCCAGCACTTGTTTTTTATAGCAATTTTTTTCTCAGTCCTGAATTGCATTTAGACATTATCTTTTAGAGAGTAAAATGAGCATATTATTGACACAACAATCCTTACAAATACAGAAAGAAAAGCACTGCCATATAGGGGATTTTGTATACAGCCCTAGATGGTGGGGTATAGATACAGATACAGACACATTCATAGGTGCCTACGGTACTACTAGTTGTAGCAAAAATCTAGGAAAGTCCATCAAAAGGGATTTGCTAAAAAAAATTATAGTATATTCCATACTGAAACAATATATATCTATTAAAAATCATGAATACAATCTGCACACATTGACCTGGAAGGATATCCACAATCTGTTAGTGACAAAGACAAGTCCAGTCTTACTTTCTGGTCTGCTTTCACCATGAGGGGAAGGAATGACTAAAGTAAGCTGTAGGGCACACCTGGTCAAAAAAAAAAAGGGAATGCGAAGTGATTCTAACCCTCTTATTATAAAATAGTACACATTTACAGAACATTACACTGATTACTGTGTGGTGGTGCCACTCCATCCTTGGTATTTCCTGCAAATCAACAGCTGGACCCAGAGGCTGTGTTAGGCACAGGTCCCACCCTCAAACCCGGAAGGGGCAGTACCTTACTTGTCAGCAGGCACAGCCCACCTCTCCTTTTGGAGGCTGTTGATGCTGACTGCTTGGATCTACGCTTTCACTGGGGTTAGGAAACAATGACGTTCTAATTCTGTCATTTACTTTCCATTTACAAACTAAGCTCATTTAATAAAGAAGTACTATCCCTCACCTACTATTTGGTTACCCCCAGCATAGTTCAAAAGTACAAAGAAGGACAAATGTTTGACTATTTCGTCACCGTTATCAGTTTTTAAAATAATAAACAGGTCTGTCACCATCTAGCAGTGATCCGCTGTTGGATTTCTTTAGAAGACAGCTGTTTCAGTCAGCTAAAATTATTATCCTTTGGCAGATGAAGTCCTCTCGTCACTGGGCAGTGAGAGCATCTTCTCAATGGCTCCTGAGTCCTCCTGCCATGACCCTTACTGTCTGTCCTTTACAGCGACCTCCCCGGGACTGGGAGATATACCAGGATCATCGTGAACATCTCCAGTCCCAAACTTGGAATTGACCAGCTTTCCAGGAATCCCTAGGTTCTTTTACAGAAAATGATATTTTTAAGCCTACAATCTGGAATTCACTTTTTTTTTTTGAACCAGGGATCGAACTCAGGACCTTGTGCTTGTGAGGCAGGCATGGTACCACTAAGCTAAATCCCCAGCCCTGGAATTCATATTTAATATTCCTAGTTCAATAACTCATGAGGAGAAAAGGGTTTATTTTGGCTAACAGTTCTAGAGGTTTTAGTTAATGATGAGCTTGGCCTGTTTGGGGGCTATGTTGAGGCAGAACATCATAGTCGAAAGCACATAGTAGAGCAAGGTGCTCACCTCATCATGAGTGGGAAGCAGAAAGAAAAAGGACTGGGATCCTAAAATCTTTTTTTTTTTTTTTTTTTTTTTTTGAGACAGGGTCTCATTATGTAGTTGAGACTGACCTGGAACTCACTATGTAATCCAGGCTGGTGCTGAACTCACAGCGATCCTCCTGCCTCAGCCTCCCGAGTGCTGGGATTACAGGAGTATGCCACCCAGCAAAAAAAACACTTTTTAAAAAACAACTTTTGGGCTGGGGATTTAGCTCTATGGCTCCACGCCTGCCTTGCAAGCGCAAGGTCCTGAGTTTGATCCCTGGTATTAAAAAAACACAAAAAACAAAACAAAAAAACACAACTTAACTTTTCATGCATATACCATATCTCCTTTCTTCTATATCAAAAACCCTTACAAGGGCCAGGGATTTAGCTCAGTTATTCCGCTGCCTGCTTCACAAGCACAAGGACCTGAGTTTTCTCCCTGGTGCCAAAAAAAGAACTTTGGGCTGGGGATTTAGCTCAGTGGTGCCACCATCTGCCTCGCAAATGCAAGCACTGGAGTTCGATCCCCGGTACCAAATAAACAAAAACCCTGGTCTTGGGTCACAGATTTGGCTCAGTGGTGCTGCACCTGCCTGGCAAGCACAAGGTCCTGAGTTCGATCCCTGGTACCCAAAACAAAAAAGGCTGGGGATTTAGCTCAGTGGTTCCACTGTCGTGCCTAGCAAGTGCAAGGTCCCATGTTCGAACCCTGGTACCAAAAAAAAAAAAAAA